AAAACAAATAGTATGTCAAAAGAAATAACATTGCTCTGAATAATTGTTTAACCAAAATTAATAATTCATTCATAACCGATGCAATATGACGTAATTTCAAAAGTGGTCACAAGAAGAATTTAAGTGCTTCCAAGTTGTAGTTAACAAATTATTTGCACAGTTCATAGCCTCAAATTGAACGTAACAACCACAAAACACTTTTGTTGTTCTGATAGTTCTAAAACAGCTGATAACAAAAAAAAAAGCGACTTTTTTTCTTCAAAGAAACATCGAAAAAGAGCATAAATTCTGAATCATTTTGATGATAAAATGCATTCAGAGCATTGAATTTAAATATCTTTAGCTGACAACTCAAAATTGTTGTTGTTACCATACAATAATCTTCTGTTCAAAAACAGAATGAAAAATATTGAGAAGCAAGAAGTGTTAGATAAGGGATATATCAACTAACTAGTCGACAAGTAAAATAAACGACCTTATCGTTGTATCACTTTGTAGAATAGCAGTCGAAAACAAATATCATTGACTCACCGAACAGAACAGATTTTTTAGCAGAAAAATGTTATTTTAATTTTAATAATCTAAGAAAAATTTTATAATATTTTTTGTCGCTTTTCTGCAATCAACTACTTCACTTTAGAGGAACATTTAGTTGACCATAAAAGCTGTCTAAAAAAAACCGTACCGATTTCATCAAATTGTTATTCATTCAGCAAACTGTTCACTTTAGTGATTTATAGTGAATAGCAAATTCTGACTTTAAATTTAGATGACTAGATTTCAGATTAACTATATATCCAGTTGTCAAAGCAGATACAAAATACAGGCAACAAGTAAGAAAAAAAAACGTTTGATTGTACACATGCATACAGGTCGATAAATTGAAGTTCAGTATTGATATCAATGCCAAAAATTACTTGATCATTGCAATACTATAATTCGCGTCGTCTGTTGTGACAAAGCAAGTTTTTCTGCTTATTTGTATGAAAAATTATTGGCATTTTTGTTGCATTTTACCTGGAAAAAAAAGTTTTTTATTAGTATATCAACATTTTCAGCAATTAAGTTATTATTGGTTTAAGTTTCAATCCCCAAACATCGATGTCTAAAAGTTGGTTAATAAACATAAATTTTAATTAAATTTTCTTTTCTTACACTAAATATAAAGATTTCACTTTTATTTTACTACTATAATGTAGTTGAACAATTTTGAAACAAAAAAAAAACACTTAGGTGACAGAGAGTAAAGATTAAACGAGTCTGGGTAAGAATTTATTTTACTAACTGTAAACTGCAAAATTACGCTAACAATTACTATAAATCTTAGCACATAAATTAATGCTTACCTAACTTAAATTTATAATCATTTTATCAAAACCTTCGTTTTATTTTCAAAAGCATCTATATTTTGATATCAAACAAAAAAAAAGAAGCTGTTTTTGCTTGAGCAATTTACAGTTTTTCAGAAACGCTGAATTCAAATGAAATTTGAATGACACTGTAATTGACACATACTGATTGTAAAAAAAAAAATTGCAGAAATGTCAAGTAGGCAACCAATCTGACTTACAATTTTCGATATTATCGTGGAACTGTAGAGCAATTATTTTAGACCAGTAGTCATAACACTTTCAAACCATTTTTCTACGTCTGTGACTGTATCATTTTTTGCATTAATCACAAACGGAGACTTCTAAAAAAAATGGTAAGAAGAGATATTCAAATAAAAAAACTGCGAATAAATTTCAACGCTTATTTTTATAGGAACTACAAATAAATTTTTATTAAAAAAAAAAAGCTATAAAATGTTGCTGTTTACAACTGGTTAGAATTTGTTAATCAAATAAAAAAATTTTTTGCCTAACAAAACATCATTCTTTGCTGTAAAAAGAAAATCAAAAATTAAAAATAAGTGAAAAACAAAGACAAAGAAGAAAAAAAAACGAGAAAAAAAAACAAATACATAAACAACAATTTACTAAGAGATCTGAGTAGACTGGCCGTTTTTCAGGTTTCTTCTGAAGACAGAATTTTAAGACAGTAGAAAATTCTGGGCTACACCGAACTGTTTTCGGCAGTTCTGGAGGTGGTTCATTCTGAATCGCTTGCAACAGCGTAGCCGGTATATCTGCCCAGCAATAAGGATTTTCTCCTGTTATTAACTCAAATAATGTTATACCAAAACTCCAAACGTCTGCTCGAATTCCATATTTTTGTTGACCACCAATTCGTTCTGGCTAAAAAGTTATTACATTTTTCACCATTTTATGACATATCAAGAACTGTCAAGCTTTGCTGATAAAGTCAACCAAAATCTTCAATTTTGCTGAGAGACAACAACACCAAAAAAGAACTGTAATTTCCAACGTCGCACTGTGAGTGTTCACTGTTCTTTAAAACTTTTCAAAGTCTTTTTTTTTCAGAAATGAACTTCTAAACTGCAAAAAAATTTAATTTTGAAAAGAGAAAAATTTTAAAGATAAAAGTTTTAAACTTATCACTTTTTGTGGACATTTTCTAGAAAAAGTAGTCGTTTTTCTCAGTCTTGTGAGAAGTTTTGAGGAACAATAGTCAATATGCAATTAAGAATCCGATGCTTGAAAAGATATTGTGGTCAGTTGTGCAAAATTCATGTTCAGATATCGTTCGTTTCTATGAAGTATTTTCGAGACAAATAAAAAGCTTTTGTTTAAATCATTTTTATAAAACTGCTGCAATAAACTTTTGTAAAAATTTTTTCTGTATATTATTCAAACATTTGTATGCTGAGAAATAAATAATCTTTTGTTGTACAACAGAATTTTTTTGCAATCATGTTTCAAATCTTAAAGTTTTTTAAATCTATTTTTTTTCTGGTACATATAGCACTTTTAAATCTACAATTAGTTTTGTTTCTTCGAAAAATAGCGCAGACAAAGTTGCGAAATAAACAGTAGCATAAACTTGAACTTATTATCGCATAAGAAAGAAAAAAATTTGAAGTTTCTTGAAGGTGCTATACGAATAAATAGCATTTATTAGTAGCAAAAAAGTTACTAAGCATATTTTTTCGGTTTATTAATACTACAAAAAAAATTTTTTTTTTAAAATTTTCACTTTTGCAAATTCACAAAAACTTGAATCGTTAAGTGAAGAGAAACCTATTTATCATACACTTTATTTGTAATGACCATGTTAAATACATGTAATCATATTGAATAAGACTGAGTAGGTTTCAAACTTCTGAGGTCAGCACCGTTGTCAAAAAAAATTAGCCTTATTTATGCATTAATTATTAAAGTCATAATATTTCCAAATTACTGGTGAATAGTAAAAGAGTAAAACGAATTTTAAAGCATACGAGCTTGTTAATGCACGAAGAAGTCATTATATAAGATAAAGTCAGAAGGTATTCTTCAAAAATTCAACAAAACTAAGAAGCTAAAGCTGCTGTAACAGGAGTAACACGAACTATTAGTCAGATAAAAAATTTTTTTAATGATTTCTAGAAGAACCAGTAAAGCAGTTTGTAACGGCATATTTCTTGCATCGATAAAAACTGTACTAAAAGTCACTTACGGCTAGGTAAGCAAGGCTTCCCACTGAAAACGATTCAGCCCAATTTGTATCAATTAGACGTCCACAAACACCAAAATCGCAAAGCTTTATTGTTCCATGATAATCGATTAAAATATTTCCTGGTTTTATATCACGATGCATTATCTATAAATTAAAATGTTCACCAAAAGTCATATCTGTCAAAAAATTACTAAACAATCAATATTTATTGTCAGCCATTCTTTAACTTTTTTTACAAATTAGTAAAAGTTTATTACACTGATTAGTATCGAAAAAAAAGTTTAACCATAACTTTGAAGTTCACCTTCTTTTCTTTCAGGTACTGTAGTGCACAAAGGGCAGACAGCGCCACTTTTGCAATAATTTTTTCTGGGATTCTAACAGCCTTAGTTAAGACTTTGTCAAATCCTGTTGCCATTTCCATACATATCAATAACTCAGCCTAAAACAATATAAATCTGTCAGATAATTTGCAAAGGTTATATATCGTGCAACAAAACAGTTTTTAATTGATTTCTTTATTGAGAGTTTACTTATAGAATGTTACTAGCAACTAAATGCTGCAAACTGCGTTAAACGCCGATATAGCACGCGTTTCATACCAGAAATTCATAACCTATTTCAAAGCTTAAATCTAGAATAATCGAGCAGAAAAACTTTATAAAATGATGTTTTTTTGTTAAGAACTAAACAGCTTATCAGAGCAGTACTTCATCAACAAAGCATCCGTAGAATTTAACAATATTTGGGCAGTTCGCAGCTTCTATACTGACAGCTACGTCAGTCACCGCTGATTTATACTCTTTCCGGTCAAGTATTATAAGCTTCTGCAAATTGTTTACAAAAAGTAGAAAAAAAATTTTATATGACGTTTTAAACAGTATGATTACTAAGCATATCCCTTATTCATTTCAATAATGACCCTTAGTAGCGTCGAAAGCAATAACAAATTTACACTAGCAAGTAATTTTAACAAAAGCAGTTAGTTTACTTTAATTGCCATTATGCTGTTTGTATGGTTACACCTCGCTTTAAAAACATGACCAAAAGTTCCTCGTCCCAAAGTTTTCAATTCTTCGATAGACGATTTACTGCATTGATGTGAACGTCCCGCTATGGTAAGCCATCCAGATAATGCTCTGATTCTTTGGTATGCTTTATCAGTCTATAATCTTACGCTCTTGTTTTTTAAGTCTTAATTGTTAGAGTTTTAGAATTTCAATAAAGTTATGCTTTTCTAATGCAGTAAATAAAGACTTTCATAATTTGTAAAGACAAAACAAGAAAAAAGCAATACTTCTGTTTTCTGGATTATTGGTGCTGCCGGTAAAATGAATGTCGGGGAAACAACTGGTTTAACAGAAGATGGAATGCCACCGTTCAATAGAAGAGGCTTTGAAAAGTTATTTATTGGAATACCATTTAACCGAATTGGCATAAGTACTTTACTGGGTTTTATTTTTTTTGAACTTGAGGACATTATTAATCAACCACTGAAATTCAATTTTAAAAATATTGCTATAATCTGCGCCTGCTGCAATCATGTATACAAAAAAATTGCTCTTTAACAATGAAATAAAAGAAAGTTATCACCGCAAAACATTTATCGCATTCAAGCTTCTTGTTCCCACTTTATTGAAAAATCGAAAGTTTCAGTTGCTACTACAGTTCCTAAAAGTAGAGAAAATTTTTGCATTACATTCGC